TTTTTTTTTTTTTTTTTTATTCCTAAGGCCTTTTGTTGACCGTTCGTCAAGGATAAAACTGAAAATAGACAAAGTATGATACAATTGTAAATGCATCTTTCCAAACTTAGCAAAGTTTCCAATGATAAATATAAAATAATGATTGTGATAAAGATCATTGTAAATTATAAAAGAAAAAAAAAGAAAAAATGCATAAAAAGATGATGAAGATGATGATAATCTTTCATTTTGTTTAGGGATAGGTTTTATTAACGGGTGATACGGATTCGCAAAGAGATTTCTAATGTCTCAGTGAACATGCGAACGGTTTGCACCGGTTGTGTCGTCCCGTGTGTTCCACACACACACACAAACATACATGCATACATACATACACACACACAATCGCTTAACCCACTTTCCCGAAGGTTTCTCAGGTAGCTAGAAGAATCCCGTTGGTTGTGTCCCGCTCGTCGTGGTAGTAGACCCCCGCCATTCTTGTGTTGAAAGAATCCGTGAGAGAGAAAGAGAGCAAATAAAAAGGAAAGAAAAATGAAGAAGGGTAAAAGAAGAAGAAGAAGAAAAAGAAGAAGAAGAGAAAAAGAATGGACATGTGCGACAAGGTTCTATTCGACGACTAGTTGTTTGATGATTTGTGCGATGACCTATGCCCATCCCCTTTCCCCCAAACCCCGCATCAAGGATCTCTGTCTCTGACAGTCCGCAAGTTCAGAAAATACTTTCATCTTTTTTTTTTTTACTTTTATCCTATCGTTCGTAGTTCCCTTGGTATCCCCCACCCCAAATCACCCTACCAGTAGCAGCAACAGCAGCAGCAGTACACCAGCAGAACAGAGCACAGCTTCGAGCATCGGGGCAGGGCAACACACAGGGCCACATCGAACGTCCCTCTCGTATGCGTATTTATGAGCGTGCATACCGACGAATATACACTACCTGCCCTGTTATTGATCGAATATCGCGTTATTTTACCGAAGCCGCGATAAGTCGTCGTCGGCAAACCCTTTTCTTTCAATTCCAAATAACACGTGATTCCTATCCAATTACCCCAACTCGAATTGATACACTCTGGGGTGTTGAATTGGTGAGGTTTTTTTTTAGGGGACTTGTATTATTCTTTTACTTGTTTTATTAAATATATATATATTCTACAATGTTATAGTAATTTTGTTCAATCAATTTATGTTAATTGTTTTAAGGTACACCATTAATTGATGGTCGTGGTGACATTTTTACGAAGAATTATTTTGTTCTTTTTCATTTTCTTTCTTTCTTTCTTTCTTTCTTCCTCCCCATCCCATCTGATCGATCTGATGCTAAAGCACATGTATGTAAGTGTGTATGTGTATTTGTATAACCCCTATTGTGGTGGGACGATGTGTCGTGTCATGTTATGTTCATTTTCCCATTCGTTTGATCGTTCGTTTAAAAATTAAAAATATTTTGTCATTTTGTTTTAGAACAGTTTAACGTTTTCATTGTCAAAACTATGTCCAATTATAATCCAGCTATTATTTTATTGGGTTTTCTTTTATTATAATATATCAAGGACCCTTGTATACATATATATATATATATATATATACCGATTAATCCCACAGATATCTCTGATCGTATCTCACGATTCTTTATCGCGGTTACTCGTTATCCGACCAGTGCTACCAGTTGCATTTGGATGCACACGTGTCAGATATAAACGCGTTGCTAATTTACATCGTTTTTTTTTTCCTTTTTCTTTTTTAGATGTAACATACAACATTCCTGACAATTACGATCGAAGAAAATATCGAGAGTGCATCGTTATGAGAAGAATGATGGAACCAACAGCAATCCAGTTTTGTTCGATGTTGAGGAAGCTGAATGTTCAAGAGGTCGATAAAAAGTGGGAATGAAAAGGTGAGGATTAAGGGATTGAGGAAAGGGGGTTGCTTGTTAGAGGAAGAATGAATTGTAGGTGTAATGATTGGAGTTAAGAATGCATTATTCCTGTTATAGGTGTACACCTCATGTTATTGGAATATTCAATTCCCATTATATGTGAGGATATTTGAAAGATTCTAGGAAATCACGTCGTTTATTGGAAATTTCCAAATTCTTGGAATTGTCTGTCTGATATCCTGCTGCTAACTCCTATAACGTCATGGGATTCTGATACAAAATCGATTTTTTGATCAAAATTTGAAAATTTTCTTCATTTGTATCAGGATCACATGGTGTGCCAGGAAGTGGCATGTGCAATCCTTTTTTTAAAATGTTTTTTAAATGTTGTTTAAATTAATTTAAACTAGTTTTTATTTTTTAAGACCCTGGGGATCCGAGCATCGTAGGAGCATCACTCACTGATTGTAAGCTATTACAATTTCTTGGTAGGTAAATTTTGGAACTTAAAATTTATGTTTAACTATTGGTAATGGGACAACAAAATACAGCAAAAAATAGGTTTGGAATTATAACGAAATAAATTCATTTACAGTTTATTTTATGTACATTGATGTATAAACAGATATTTCAGGATACCATATTGGATAAAAGTTAACCTATTTATTAGCGTAGTACTTACGGAAAATTCCCGCCAAATTATATACATTAATTACATTCATTATTTTAATTATACAATATTAACATACACATAATGGTTTATTTAGAAAATACGTACAGAAATGAATAGTTTTAATAACAAAATAACAAAACATTTATATCACAAAATTCGCAGAAAATTATTTGATTTCGATCATATGATTAGTCAGACGGTAGCCATATTTAATTAAATAGTTCAGAAAATCTCCACCGAGTGTCGTAATGCAAATCAACACGTATATCAAAACAAGAACCGTATAACTGAAAACTTTTGATTTATATTTTGTTATTATCATTTTGCAATTGATAAATTTTGACGATAATTGAAAATAAAATACATCGGGGGTGATATTTGCATGTATGTGTGACACAAGGAATGATCTAAGTCATATAAATTCTTTCATTTTCTTCACACCCCTCTCCACACCTTCATGCAAAACGTCTTTGAATAGTTATATATATATGTATAAGAACGTTTAGAGACGCGTTCTCGACAACTTTAACTTCTATTTATATCAAGGATACTCTTCGTGTAAGAAAGAAGAGAAATTTTCAACCGTGCGCCATCGTAACTTCAAAGAAACGGAAAACAAGAATGAGAAAGAGAGATAAAAAGATAAAAAGATAAAAAAAAAAGAAATTTGTAATCAAATAAGATTGTCAATGATGTTTTCAATTTACAAAAAAGAAACCAATGATTTTTATTATTATTATTATTATTTATACATAAATATATATGTAAACAAACAAGTAAGGTGTTTTTTTTTTATAAATTAAAACTTTTTCATGGACTTGCAGCAAATGTTTAGATTATATTTACTCGAAGAAGTTATTCAGGAGGCTGCTGTTTTCTTAGTCTGAAATCGTAGTGACTATCGACGTGACTTCGATCACAAACGATTACAAAACTCACGACAAGTATTTTTTTTTTCTTTTTTTTTTTTTTTTTCGAAGTTTAGAATTGAAAGTGGACATCTTGTACAGCATTTTAACACATTTTAACATATCCCGAAAGAAAATATAAATATAAAATACGTAACACGGTGTTTTAGGATACTTTCAAAGATGATCTCTGAAAATGATCGATGATTATAGCAAAGATAAGATAGTCATTTAACAAATTACTGAATTAACAAACAAAACCACCCTCTACCCAATCAAATTATTTGAATTCGTAAGTTGAATGATTTCGCATATGAAACACAGGTTTGTTTTTCAATTTGTGCGAAAATATTTGACAATAAGCTTGTGTTTGATTTCAGATTTTTCAACCCCCCCAATCTTTTAGGCATAAAATTTTGTTCAAGAGACAACTACAATTTAAAGAAACATAACCTGTCATGTAATTTATGTTTCAAATCATTGACAATTTTTCTAGAAAATGATTCAAAGTTTGTTCGAACAAATGTATTTTCGTTGTCACGAGGAATATTTTCATCCAATTTCGTTTTCTTATCGTGGTACTACTACTCGTCGTCGTCTTTCACTATTTTTCCCTTTATACCTTTTTCCGAGTTACAGATTAGACCCCCCCAGCTGTTCCCTGATCTCTCTTTTCCCCCCACCTCCCCCATCTCGTCCCGTACAAACGTAGTTTCAATACGCATGCGAGCGTTAAACCCCTCCCCGTCCCCATAAGAAATGAAAAAGAAAGAAAAGGAAAGATAGATGGGAACGAGACGACCCTATACGTTGACGAAGACGACGAGGACGACGACGACGACGACAAGGACGAACAAGGATGAGGATGATGCTATATAAAACGAGAATTTCGAAGTAACCTAGCGACCGACTCGAAGGACCAAGAAAAATCTTACGACCTGCCTCAGAAAACCTTCGATCGTTTCTTGCGCGCTCTCTCTCTCTCTCTTTCTCTCTCTCCCTAGTTTCTTTTTATTCCCTAGTTTTATTCCCCCATTTTCATTTTCTTCTTCTATGTTTTCTTTTTTTTCATATTTATGTTCAAAGTATATTGACAAACCACAACATTTCATTTCAAACAACTAACTGCGAGTAAATTTTATATATATAAAAAAAAAACCTGAAAAAAATATCGTGCTTAAATTTTATACAAAAAAAATGCTATTGAATTCCTTCCTCTTATTATCATTCGGTGTTTTCTCGTCGCTACTGGCGCATTATTATTTATCTTTCACCGAGCGCTTAAAAGTTCTATAAATGTACGCATTTTAAAATTCAACTTTGTGTGTGTGTTATACGTATCATTATCGAGAAGGGTGGAAAGGGGGGGGTATCGAGAGGGAAGAGGGGGATCGTCTTTGGTACGGATCGGAAATGCAACGAGTTGATAACGCAAAGAAGAAAACAACTCTTGCCTTCCTCCCCTCCCCCACCCCTCATCATCCTCCTCATCCTCCCCACTTCAACCACCACCTTCTTCTACCCCCCACCACTATCATTTTACCATTCAATATAATTTTCTCTTATTCCTTATTCCCACTATTCCCATCCTTGCTTACTCTCACGATATTTGTTGTCCTCGGACAAAACGGAACAGGAACGGAAACGGAACGGAACGGGAACGGAAGAAGACGATACACAACGAAGAAAGAAGAAAACCAAGAAGAAGTTTACGTTAAAAGAAGAAGCAACAACAAAAAAGAAAAGCAAAAAAAAAAAATCAGCAAATACAAAAAGTGTCTACTACGTTTGCGCGAGAAAGGCGGAAGAAGAAGGGGAAGAAGAGAAAGAAGAGAAGAAGGGTGGGGAGAAAGAGGGGTGATTCAGGAAAGGAGGGGAAGAGGAAAACCCTGAATTAGGAGAGAAAGAGAAAGAGAAAAAGAGAAAGAGAGAGGAAGATATAAAGACGGATGGACGGATAGATCGCACGAGGGCGCTCGCAAACAGTATGAACGTGAGTTAGTGTAATGCTCGCGTGTGCGCGCGCGCAAGAACACACAAACTTTCTCTCTCTCTTGGGTTCAGGTTTAAAAGGGAGAAAGAGAGAGAGATAGTGATAGAGAGAGAGAGAGAGAGAGAGAGAGAAAGAGAGATATAAAGAGACGGAGGAACCGCCCTCTCCGTCCTTCTCCCCTCTCGAAGTTGCTTGTATTCAACCGGCGAGTTTGCTGTATACTACTCTCCAATACTCACTCTACTACTACTACTACTACTACTGTTGCTTCTACTATTATTATTATTATTATTATTACTACTATTATTACACTAATATTGTTACTGGTGTTGCTACTAATATCGCCATCATTACCATTACACTTAATCTTTTAACATCATCGTTAGAAATGTGCATAAGTGTTTATGCGCGTGCGTAAAATACCGCCAGATCACACATACACATACATACATACAGAACAGAGATAAATAAGTATATACATGCATGAGAAACGATGCAATGAAGAAGAAGACGAAGACGACAACAACTTAAAAAGAGGAGGAGGAATACGACAGTGCCAAGAAGAGGGCTTATGTATCTTTTTCGATCCTGTATAAATATATAATATAATATATATATATATATATATTACTGTCTACTACTACGACAATTTTCTACATGCACAGTTAGGGGCACCCCCCACCGGTGCTCTGTTCACTGTTCGTTCTTCGATGTCCTCCTCCTCTTCCTCCTCCCTTTCTTCTCATTATTCTCCACCTCCTTCATCCATGTCTCTCTCTCTCTCTCTGCGTTCTTTTCTAACGATGTGTATATATGTCGTGTAAAAAAAAAATGTATAAAATTAAAAAAAAAGAAAAAAAGGGAAAAGAATTGCATTTCCATTGAACCCCCCTCCTGTGCGCCACCGCGGCGTCAATCATGTCCCGTCTCGTCCCACCTCCACTATACCACCACCTCCACTACCATCATCACTACCACCACCATCGCTACCATGTTCTCCTCCTTCTCCTCCTACTTTCCTTTGTGCGGTACGCGGAGTGGCCTCCGCCGTCTGCAGGCGCGTTATCGCGTGCAACTATTGCAACTGTGTTATTATATATATATATGTTATATACATATAYACACACACACACTTACTTGGTTACTTACATTATGCGGGTCTCTCTCTCTTAATGCATGTACTAACACACAGAGAGACTGACGACGCACATGTAGAGAGAATCAATCACACATACGTTAAAAGTCTAATTCTCTCTCTCTCTCTTTCTGATACACACATATACAAACACATAGTCAGACACACACACACCCATATACAAAACTACTGTAAGTCTTCTTATAGAGAGCGAGCTGTGTGCTCTCGAAACACAACATCCCTTCTCAACTGATGATTACAGGAAGATCAAAAAATAAATAAATAAGAAACTAACGTACCTTTTAGATGTACAGAAGGTTCATAATTATTCCTTTGGTTATGCACTGTTCCAATAATAATCCAGTCTACTCGTCCATTTCTGATACGAGAAACGAGAGTCGAATATTCTCGGTTTACGACAAGCGCGGAGAGAGACGGTGACGAAAAGTAGAGCCGTACGAGAGCGCCAAGTACTACCGCGCGGCAGTTTTAACAACTAACGGCAAACGGCGGTCCACTAATACAATTGCAACTACTACTACTACTACTACTGTTATGGACAACAGCGATAGGAATAACGATGAGGACAACGACGACGACAACGACGATGATAACGGCAACAACGATGATGACGACGACGACGACGACAACGACGATGACGACGATGACGACGAGGACGAGGAAGAAGGCATCGAGACTTGCTCGGCGGGTGCCAGAGATTGTAGGGTAGTGGTGATGGTGGTGGTGGTGGTGGTGGTGGTAGCAGTAGTGGTGGTGGTGATGAGACAGTGGTGGTGGTAATACTAGCAATAGGGGATGGGTTAGTTGCGAGGGGGGTTGGGGTAGGATATGGTAGGGAAAGAAAGAGTGAAAGAGAGACAGTGGTGAGAACTCACGCAGCGGCAGGAGAGAAGCAAACGTTACACAAACGACCCGACCACCACGAGAACTCGTGCCAAACTGAACCTAACTCTCCAACGAACGCCAGCCGAGCGCTCCTCCACTGGGCTATGCCCTTTCCCCTCTCCGAGTCCCTTCCTTCATCCCTTTGCTAGGCTCCCCTCTTTGTCCCACACCAACGCTCACTCAACTCCTCTTTCTCTTTTCAACTAACGTTCGTTTTATCCTACCGTCCTCGAATACGGTCTCTCTCTCTCTCTCTTTCTCTCTGGCTCTTTTCTTGCTCTCCCCCTCTGCCCCTTCTCTTTCACTCTCTCCTCTCGTCTCTCCCGTCAGCCGTGCGTTCGCGCGCACCTTCGACCGGCATGCCTGCTCGCCTCGTCTGCCTTCCTTCCTTGCTTGCTTGCTTACTTACTTGCTTGCTTGCTTGCTGTACTATGCTCTGATATACTCTGCTTACCGTGCTGTTCTTCCTATCCAAAAGAAGAACTTTGGCTTCCATCGCTTCCTTTCTTTTTTTTCCTCTTCATTCTGGACTCATGGATATCATGATTTTCTCCCCTGCTTCCATACAACCCCCCTGACCCTTCCTGAACCCTCCCCTCCCCTATTTATACTACCCCAGTCTCCCTTCTCTCTCTTTCAGTTCGTTGGGTAGCACGTACACAACGAGAAGCCCACATCGTACGTACCCAACATACAACACATCGATGAATTCTTTCTCTCTCTCTCTCTCTATCTCTCTCCTCTCTCCCTCTCTTCCTCTCTCTATCAAGCCACCGGAGAGAGCGGGTCGCCTTCCTGCCGGGTTACGAGTCGCAAGCTCCCCTCTATTCGTGAACGCCGCTCTTTTACCACCCCTCCATACTTTCTCTCTTTCTCTTTGTCACTCTCTCTCTCTTTCTATCTCCCCCACCCCTCTCGATCAGCGGGTTCTTCTCTTCTCTTCTATCTCTCTCTTCCTTTCTCCGACACCAGTTTCTCTCTATTTCTCTTTGTCTCTCTCTCACTATCTCTCTCTCTCTCTCTTTCTCTCTCTTTCGTTTCCCTCTCTTCGTTCCATGATACGAGAAAAACCCCTCGGCAACGAGACTCGCCACTGCAAACGTCCTGTCCTGGCTCCCTTTTGCCTTCTACGATCCTTTTCTCTATCCTCATACTTCTCTCTCTCTCTCTCTCTCTCTCTCTCTCTCTGTCGCTATTTTTTTTTCTTCATTCCTTTTTATCTTTCCTCTCTTTCTCTCTTTGGGTTGGTTTTCTCACAGGCATCATGTATTGCCAGCTACGAGGATGCAAGTCCAAACGATTTCACTTTGGTTTCTATAGGAGGGATAAATGCACCCTTCCCCCTCCCCTTATTTTTTCTCCCTCCTCTTCTTCTTCTTCTTCTTCTTCTCTTACATATCCTCCTTCAACCCTGGTTTGCTCTCTCTCTCTCTCTCTCTCTTCAAATGCATTAGGGAAATCCTACAATAACTTGGCTTAGGTAGTTCTTCATTCCTAAGGTTACAAGCAACCTTCTGGAAGATTCGTTCGTATATCTTCTTATTTTTCTTTCTGCCCAACAATGAACTCTCATTCCATTGCTTTCTTCCCTCCCCTCCCCTCCTCTCCTCTCCCCTCTCCTCTCTGTCTGTCTGTCTCTCTCTCTTGTCCTTCCCTTTTTTCTTTCTCTACTTATCTTACTTTTTGGGTAAGGTTCGTTCTACCTTTGGTTTCTTTTCTCTTCTCTTTCTATTCTCGGATGGTGGTCGCCATTTTGTAGAAAACGGCCAGCGTACTCGAATCATAACCTCCTCCTCTTCCTCTTCCTCTTCTTCTTCTTCTTCTTATTTTCATTTGAATGTACTCAATTTCGTTCAATGTTGTATTGTTCTTTTAAATTCTTTTGACTTTGTCTTTCCATTTTCTTCCTCTTCTAAGTTAAACATAAAAACACAAAATGTATTTTGTTTTATGAATCATTTTTTATTTGTTCAGTTTCTAACTTTAATCCGTTCTGACTCACGTAGTTATCTAAATTTGTATCGATAGTTCAAAAAGGTCTTTTCCATAACTCGGCAAAATATTGACAAAGGGACGCCATTGTAATTGTATTTTGTATAGTACTAAACTTAACCTCAATTCTATGTCTGTTACGAATATCAGATTCTTGTTATCTGAACGTTTGCTTTTCATTTTGTTAAATCAATTTAAGATCTATCTTGAGTTAATGTTTTCCTTTATTTGCGCGAGACAGCCTGGATAAATAAGTTCGATGTGTGCAATTGTAAACAATTGGACACCCAACCATCATATACATGGTGTCTCAAAAGTAAATGTAAAAAAGTACAATTATATATATATATATATATATTTGAAAAGTTCGTTTGATAAATTCATTTATTCGTACGTAATCAAATCTAATATTAATTTATTCACCTAATTGTTATTATTATTATTATTATTATTATTATTATTATTGTGGTAATTGATATGAAAAAGCAAATATGTCATCTAATGATGTTTGTTGTACAAAAATGTTGAAACGAGTTAAGAATGTATCTCGAATGATATTTAAAAAAAAAAAAAACCAGTGTTATTATTATTAACATGAAAATATTGACTTAACAATTTATACAGTTTTAACATCCAATAAATAAAACGTTCCTTCTAACCATTAAACTTTACGATATTTCAATATAAGCACTGAAGAAAATTGATTATCATTTGAATGTCTTATAATTCATATTTAAAGATTGATACATTTAAGCGTGAAACACCTTGTATAATTCGAATGAATTAATTTACAGTCACCCTACCTGTTTCCTACCGATGCGTGACGCAATAGATGATATTACCATAATCGTATATTCAGTGACGCGTCGAATGCGGTAAATACGAGCTTGAGTATCAACGATTAGTATCTCATATTTGTAATTAGCAATTGCACTCTAGGAATTTAATCCAATCATTCATATTCTAACGCGTCAATGAAGATTAACTTTGCAGAAAAAAATATTAACTAAGGACTAAGATAACTATTTTTATGCTAATGTTAATTGTTTTTTCATTTTATTGCTTTTAAAATCAAATGAAATACGTCGATTAGGATAATCTAATGCAAAAACGTATATCTGTCATTTCTAATATCACTTTTCATCGATGTGTATATTGGTTTATTTGTATTGAAAGAAAGTAACATTTGTAAATGAAATACAAAATTAAAAATGGATGAAACATCGTACCGACCAAACAACCACATACGAGAATTTCCAATGAATTTAATATGTTTGTTAGGAATCAATAAAATTAGTGTGTATTTGTTACGTGTGTGTGTGTTTGTGTGTGTGATACGTTAAATATATTTAATACAATATGTTATTCTAAATCAATGCGTTAATTGTATCCTAGAGTTTTGTTAGCATGCGGCATAGTATTACCGAAACTGGTAAGGCCGCCATTTTGAATTGGTTCCTACTATAAAGTGAAAGCTCCTAACAATAAGTGAGAACCCTCTAACCCCTCTTTTCATCGCCTTTCTTCAACGAATTAACAAAGCTTCCAGGGATAATAAAAAATCGAACATGAAAAGAATCGTCGTCAAGGGCCGCCATTGGTGGATTTAAAAAAAAAAAAAAATGTACAATAGTTTGAATTGTTCAATTTCTTTGAAATATCTTGTGAAAATCATATCAAAAAGAAAAATCATTTTAACAAATAGAGTCTCTCGATATTTATCTAATAAATAATACATTTACAATGTTTATTAACAAAGTATCAGAATTCTATGAGAATTCGGTTTGAAGTTATGTTCGTTTGTATCCTACATCACATATGGTATTTACTTAATTACACGACCGATAACATAACATCAAATATGGAAATCTAAGTTGACATCATGGCTACTACTGAACTACTACAGTTTGCAAATAGTAAGTAGAGTTTACCTATGAGTTTAACACACGTGAAACTAAATCAAGAAATGTGTACGAAATCTGTGACTCCGTTCTATCAATCAATTAACATAACCTAATTAACATAACTTCAAATACATTAAAATTGAATTCAAATGATTAACTATGAATACGATGTCTTCTTATCAAGAAGTAAAAAATAATATTGACTCCAGAAAGAAAGAAGAATGAAGAATGTAAGATTAGGGTTCATTTTTGAGCTACCGCCATTTGTTTTTTTCAAAAATGATTGTGCAGTTTGAATAATAAAAGTTGATTAAACTATGGATACGATGTTTTCTTAGGAAGAAGTGAAACAAGATTTAAAGTTAGGGTTGCGTCAAGGTTGCCTCAAAAATGATTATCTAATTTGAACAACAAAAATTGACTAAACTGTGGATGCCATAATGTCTTCCTATAAGAAAGTAAAACACAAATTGATTCTAGAAAGAAAGAACAACGAAGAATATAAGGTTAGGGTTGCGTCAGGGTTGCGTCAAAAATGATTATCTAATTTGAACAACAGAATTTGATTAAATTATGGATACCATAATGTCTTCCTATCAAGAATTAAGAAACAAATTGATTAAAGAAAGTAAGAATGACGAAGAATATGAGATTAGGGTTCATTTTTGAGTTGCCGTCATTTGTTTTATCAAAAATGATTATGCAGTTTGAATAATAAAAGTTGATTAAACTATGGATACCATAATGTCTTCCTGTAAAGAAGTAAGAAACAACATTAATTTTAGAAAGAAAGAAGAATATAAAGTTAGGGTTCGTTTTTGAATTGCCGTCATTTGTTTTGTCAAAAATGTTAATCAATTTCTGTTGTTCAAATTAGATAAACTGTGGATGCAATAATGTCTTCCTACCAAGAAATGAAAACCAAATTGATTCAAGAAAATAAAAACAACGAATTATGTAAGATTAAGGCTCGTTTTTGAATTTCCGTCATTTGTTTTGTCAAAAATAAATGAAACAGAGAGACAATGATTCAAAGTATCAAAGAAATATCTTCCTACCAAGAAATAAAAAACAAATTAAATCCAAGGAAATAAAAACAACGAATTATAATAAGATTAAGGTTCCTTTTTGAATTTCCGTCATTTGTTTTGTCAAAAATAAATGAAAAAGAGAGACAATGATTCAAAGTATCAAAGAAATGTCTTTCTATCAAGAAATAAAAAACAAATTAAATCCAAGAAAATAAAAACAACGAATTATAATAAGATTAAGGTTCGTTTTTGAGTTTCCGTCATTTGTTTTGTCAAAAATAAATGAAAAAGAGAGACAATGATTCAAAGTAAGTATCAAAGATATTATTCCTGTGATAGTATAATGATTACCAAGAAGAAACCTGAACTTGTAAATTTAACTCCTGTGTACATTAGCGTATCTCTTAGGATCCGAAGTATGATATGACGACACGACGACGACGACGACGACGACGATGACGACGACGACGAAGGCCTTCGTGTGCAAGTAACATCGTAGAGATCTCCGTCACGTGCGGCAGCTCGCTAATTCCGTGTACGTCGCGCTTGCGCCGTTAGAAGAACCCAACACCAACTATCTTTCTCTTTCTTTTTTTCTTTCTCCCTTTTTCGCGCCATGTCTCTCCGTACGTTTCTTCTCCTTCTTTTTTTTTTCTCGCTCTCTCTCTCTCTTTGATCGTTGCCTTTTTTTTTCTTCTTCTTCTTCTTCTCTTCCGTTTTTCACTCTCTTCTTAACACAGCAGCAACTCGTAAAGGGGGCGTCTGTTTGCGTCGTTGTATTTTACGTTACGTTTCTTCTTCGTATTTTTACATATTCATTGAAACTCTCACAAATTGTTTTGTATTCTGAAGAAATAATTTGAACTGACCAATGTATCAGTGCCAAATATTCGTCATAGTTTATTGTCAAGTGTAATTTAATGGGTGGTTAATCTGAAAAATCGAAATTGGGGATTGTCAAAATCAAATACTTTGGTGAAAGATCGAATATTTTTGAAATTGTTTTTTTAGGTTAGTATTTCGG